GAAGTGTCCATATTGTCTATCGATATCACAACTTGTGCGTAACACAATTGCATTCTAGTTATAACTACTAATTATAATATTTATTTAGTATATTTTTCTGTTGAAGCTGGTTAGAAAAAGTACTAAAATGTATCATTGTGGAGCACTCTTTGTGAACTATCGAATAATTTTGGAATCAACGAAAATAAATGGAAAGATAAGGACAAGTTTTTTTTTCTAATATCTATAGTTATAAATTCACTGACTAGGGTATTTTCTCTGTCATGAAATGGTGATCTCTATTCTTTTTTAACGAGTACTGTTCGTACACATTCAATATTGTGTTTAATGATGAATATTAGTTCATCTGAAACAAATAACTATTGCAACATTTAATCTCTATCAATCATCATTTCATCAACAGTTGATCTGATATAAGCTTTACCCTTCCAAAATACAAACGAAATCAGTTCTGTTACAATATTCTAAAACGAGCCATAATCCGAAGCATACGCATTTTTTTCCGTCATAAAAGTATAATTGATGGAATTTACTAAGTAGTAGAATACAGCAGCATCTAAAATGAAAAATTATGTTATGTCATCATGCTATATGATTACTTAACTCTTCAAGATCATCAAAGGATTACAGATATCATGAACTACTTGAGTAAATGGAGCAAGGATCTTAATGCTAGAGGTGTAGTCGTTCACGTTGATTTGGCAAATATCTGAACGGGAACGGCAACGATTTTGCTGTTGAAGTTATGAACAGTGAATGGTATCTTATCAGTTGACAATTGTTAACTTCAAACATTTTGATAAACAAGAAATGTTGTCACCCATATAATCAAGACTCTATCGAAAAAAATGAAGATTTTACTCCTTTAAAAATGTTTGATTAGTGACTATTTTATTCAGGATTAATTTAAAATCGTCTTTTCAAAAACTGTCCTTCCGGTAAATCTGATCGTCACATATTTCACAACTGTATTTAACACGAATGAATTTTCGAGATGTTTCGCATTCTTAGATCAGACCTTGGTAGTTCAGCTGAAGAGATATCGTTGACGTTCATTTTGAAACTACTACGGCTACATCCCTCCTTAAACCTCGTAACTTCGAATAGTCTATATTCAGAAGTCTAAAATGAACAACATCCTGGTCGTGCCATAAGGCAGTCGATGTAGGCATGCCCCAGTTTTTAACTGGTGTTGGGTCATCCGGAAGAATTGCTATACATCAGTTATCTCTGAGATATTAAAGCTCTACGATGTTTTACAGCTCTGAGAGAATCGTGATAACTGATGTATAGCAATTCTTCCGGATGCCCCAACACCAGTTAAAAACTGGTACTTGTCTAAGTCGATGGAAATGCGTAGAATATCTTATATAAGAAACTGGCAAGATCTATATAAGAATCGTAATGATTCGTATTAGAATTTATAGAATTCTTATATAAGATATTTGTAAATCAACTGCTTTGAACGTATATAAGATTCCAACTTTTATAAGCCTGGCCAGCCAGTTATATCCAGTCCGAAGTTTGATATTAAAGGATATAATCAAAATTCATCACATTTGTTAGTAATCAGTACCCTATATTCTACTTTCTTATTCTAATCTACTGTTTTTTTCCCTATTTATTTTGTTTGTCTATAATAAAACCTTAGTCCAAAGTAATCAGTCTAAAGATGCGCCCTTATTGTCTACTGCTTGTAAATTGGATGTACTACTTTTTTAAGACCCATCTCTAGCAAAATGCACCACTTGTGACCCTGTTTTCTCTATAAAGATGGCATTCAATTCGGACTCTCTAAGTCACAGAAGAATAGAGCAGCTCGAGTACTACTAATATGCATCAAAATTCCTTTTATACCCGTCTTAATAAAGCACTAGAAGGGAAATTCCTGTACAGTTACTTACATGACTCATCACCCAATAGTCAGTAGTCAAAGAAATGAGTTTCTTGATTGATCGCAACAGAGAATGTATCGTTGAAACACATTTTAATGAGTTGTTACTAGTAAATACAAACCAGGTCTCTCGATATAATTCTGACAAAATTGTAGCTATCCTGTATAGAAATTCACAGCATGTGATAGGTTTCCTAGTGTAAGATAATGTAGGATTCAGATGGTAGAATTCTATAAGAATTACACACTATCCTACAATAGAAATCAGATGAATTCCTAAGCTAAGATTACGTAGGATTTCATAGGATCCTAAAAACGATTCCCTGTGTTTCGCAGGATCCTATACGATGCAGGACTCCTCATTCAGTTTGCATATAGGCAGACACTTTAATTGATGTAAATAAAAGTTAGTATGTTAACTTATCAAAATCTTATGAATTCTTCTGAACTAATTATATAATCTGTCTTGCCGAAATCTTATCGGAATCTTATAAGATTCTTATATTTCTTAGTATAAGAATGTTATCAATATTCTACGCATTTCCATGGACTGTCTTATATAAGATTCTTATAAGATAGATTTATATCAGAGAAGGGCGACCTCTTACATATAATTAGTTCGTGTCCTCGTTACAGTAGTGTATAAGTTAAAATAATACAGTTCGAAAACGTTTTACATAGATTCATTCGTTTGCAGTGATGAGTAGTTGGGAAGTATGTGACAAGTTAAGTACTTGAGCAAGAACGTGGCAAATGTCGTTACTTGACTTGATTCAGCCAAGTGCTTTGACAAGTCAGTCACCCTTTTCTTTTGCATTGGCCACCGGTATATAAACACTACAATATCAATCGTTATACACTTCTAAAATAAACTTATATATTTCTACTGAGTTGAACAAACTTAGTAGTCGTACATGTATTTGCTATACAAAAGCAGAGTATAGCTCCAGAATATGTATAAAATACAAAATAAAAATAAATGGAACAAGCACTTGACTGAACTTTTCCAAGTAAATTTACTTGTATTGTGTCGGTCAAGTACTTACATTTTACTTGTCAAGTGCTTTCTGAAGTACTGGACATACAAATTTATTTGGAAAAGTCCACAAGTACTGTCCTAATTACTTAATCCAAGTACTTGAGCAAGTATATTTGACTCAAGTACATTTACTAGGGAGTACATTTTAGAGCAGCAGAACAGCAGTTGTACAAGCAGAAGGAGGGAATTTGAACAAAAAAACCTTTTCACACAGAAACCATGACAGTTTTATACAAGCAAAATAATTTCAGCAATGAAGATTAGTTTATCAAACAGAACTCTGTCTGTAATATGTTAAATTCCAAGTCAACGAAAACTAACATTTTACAACTCATGCACACTCTAAAAAAAAGTCGTAGATTAATAAAATATAATAAAATAGTTTTTTGGACTAAAAAACTGATAAAAAAACCCAAAAGAGCTTTTTAACCAGTTTTTTATTTTGAAACAACCACGAACGAATTTTAGTTTTTGGCCTAAAAAACTCGTTAAAAAGCTCTTTTGGGTTTTTTGATCAGTTTTTTAGTCCAAAAAACTATTTTATTGTAGTATATTAATCTACGACTTTTTTTAGAGTGGATAGCCTATTAACAGTATGACGAAAGAATTGATTTTTAATCGACTAAAAACTGACCGTTAACAGTCATCGTTTTTAGTACGTTATTTCCCCAACGAATGATTTACTCTTTTGTTCTGCTATTGTATATAATATGAATATGATGTTAGTTAAAGAAAAGTTAGAAGTTATCTCTTCTTCGATTATTCGAAGCATCGAAACTTGCCCCGAGGAGGTAGTCTTTAATTCTGGAACTGATACCAATGATAGCAACTAAAAACATTGAAATTTTACATTAAGCCAGTAAGAAATTAATTTTAAAAGGTGTTTGAAAATAAGGTTATTAACGACCCATAATGATGGAAAAATAGCCTCAAAACGAACATCATAAAATGTTCAGTTTTTTGTAAAAAAAAACCTAATACTTCCACGTATTAACACGGTGCCATGTAAATGCCTAAAAACACTCAAAAAATTGTCAGAATAACTTAAAAATGTCCATTTAGCAAATATTGGATGAGCTATCAGTGATTATCTGTGTATTACATAATTATTAGTAACCTATCCAATATTTTGTTTTCGATGTTCTGAGATGCAGCTTTGTTCCTTTAATGTTAGCTCAAATCTATCGATAACCTATTAGCTAATATCAATATGATCTAAGAAGCGCAGTATTTAATAGTGAAACCAGAGTTCGATGTTTCTGTTGAACAACAGAGAAACGACGATTTCCGTGTTTTTTTAATATCAATAATCAATAATTATTATTGCTTAAACTGTCCTTTATCTTCAAAAACTTTTTAAATATAAAAGACAATTTAGAATTTGTGATCAATTTGATCAGTATATCATAATGGGATGTGAATGTTAGAGTAGGATCAGAAAACTCTTGTCAGAGATGGTAAAAACAATTTTCGTTTATCTAAAACATTTCAGTAACTATTCGATGGAAGAAGGAAATACAAAAATTATTCGATTACATGACATGCATAATTCACCCCTAAAATCTTTCTATTATCTAATAAAAAACATGTATAAAAACATGTAAAATTATTACTTATAGAAATATCTATCGTAAAATATAGGAAAAACAAAATAAATCCCTTTAAAAAACAATATTAATAAACATTAGAAGATGGTTGTACTTTTAAATAATTCATCATTTTTTATAATGTTTTCTATATAATTTGCCTAATCTTATCAAGTGAATTATACATATTCATGAATAGAAATAGTTATGCCTTCACATGATCATCAATAACATTATTATGTATTTTTCTAGATAAAAAGTATTACTACCTTTTAATAAGCACACACATATAAGAATACCAGTAATACAACATACATTTCCCATAATTGTTTACACGATTGGGAAGAGTGCGTTTAGATTATGACATATATATGTATATAGATAGAAAAAGAACAATTAAAAACAATAAGTAAAAAATATCTACAAAGTGAAAGAGAATCATTTAGTGGAATCAATAATAATAATAATAGTTTTGTCAAAATCAAACAGGATATGGTGCTTTTATATAGCCATCATAAACATTCCGAAATAGACAAACGGCAAATAGAATACCAAACAGCTAAAATATAGAGAGAACTATTTTATAACTGATGACTCTCATGTGATAGAAGAGAAATACTTACAGCTAATATGCAAAGTCCAAAAGTAATACCAATAATGATTTTTGTCCATAAAGTAACAGAATTAACAATTGCTTTGTAACATCCAGATATGCCATAAGTATTGATATCATTAATTGTACACTGGGATGATGATGCAGACACGGAACAACACGAAGAAGGCAAACGCAATTCTCCATAATCATATGCCGAATCGATACCGCAACATTTATGCTAAATACAAGAGGTTCACTAGTTGACAAACAGAATCTAACTTTTTATGCCCCAAAAGTACAGAATAATACAAATAATACCCTATAGATCAATAGTTTAAAAAGTAATGATTTGCCGTATTCGTTACAATTTCGAAGCACAAATGTCTATAAGAAAATTTTGACTGTAGACCTAATTTTTAACTTAACAATGAATATTTCTCACAAACAAAAAACTTAAGAAAAGAAACAGATGGTTTTGTAAATCAACTTAACGATTTCAATGGCCATCTAGTGAATGATAATAAATAACATCCATGATGCGTATAGTACAAGGGGGGAAAAGCACTTATTTTTAGTAGAGTATCTCAACACCTTTTGGCATCTTTCGCCACCTTTTGGGCACCCCAAACCACCGATTTAGTCTATCGGTAACGTTCTCGCTTCGTAAAATTCAAGATTGACGGATGATTGACGGGTAAAAGGATCGAATCCGACCACCAACTTCTTTTTATTATTTTGCTTCCATTTGAATCAAAAATAAAGTATTGCTGTCTTCTTAGCAGTATGATGTAAATGCAGCCAAACTTCCTTCTCCAAGTTTATCGGTATACGAAAGGATCCGTGCAACGTGTAATTCGATCCCATACCGTATGTTTTGCAAGGCAGTACCTTACGGCACCTTTCAGCACCCTAATCAGCACTAGCTGTTGCTTTCCCCCTCTTGGTATAGCATCATTATCTGAGATGTTTTAGTCAGTGAGGATGATCAATGGTAAGTCATAGCATATTGAGTAACTTATAGATCCGGTCTTGTTTTTAGTAGATCCTACCATCGGTTATAGATCGAGAGAAAAGTTACTGTCATCAGAAATTTTTGTTATAATGCCCGTACATAATGTTGATAGAAGATTGAGCGATTCAGTTACGTAAATGCATGTTTTTAGAAGGTCATCTTATCTTCTATTTATAGTTGATAACGCATAAATTACATCAATATTAAAAATAGAACCTCCTAAGACAATAAACAACTATCAACATGTCAACAACTGCCAATTAAATTCTATTCTTTTCCTTTTGTTCAATATATATTTGATCGTAAATCAACAATAAATTAATTCTCTTCTTTTCTCGTGACAACTATGTACACAGTTCATGACCAAGTTACATTAGATTTATAGTGTGACACAAGGATAACTCATGCTGACCATGTAGTGAACAAGGACTTAAATAATCAAAAAACTTGATGATGGCACTAGACATTAATCAATAATAATAATAATAATAAATATCTTAATCTATACACGATCAGTAAAACTCAAATAAAGTACTTTAATAGCTTCTTTCTTATTAAATCATCAATTTTTTCAAGTATGGAATAAAATCATCCATGCAAGAAAAATAGAAAAGAAAATATAAATTGAACACTAAAATGTACTCAAAAACTATTCAAGTTCCATCAAAATGTGTTAAATAATTAAATCACAGTATATACCATGTATTACGATGTTCATAATTTTTAAGTACAAGTGTTACATTTCTAAAAAGCAGCTTTAGCAACACAATTCAATATTTATTTCCATTGATTTGAAAAGAATTGATATGAATATCGTTCTATTATATGCGTTATCTACAATGACGTTGTGGTCATGTAAATTTTTATTGTGTGTGATGGAAGAAACAATGATGATAAAAAAAAAAACTAAACCAACTGCTGCCATCAGTTTCTTCCTTCGTCTGCGTTTTTTTTTTTTTATTTTTATGAAACTTTACAGTCAAAAAAGAAGTAAGCTTTTGTCGAATGAACGCGTTAGGAAAGAATTTTTTTTATCTTTTGTACTCATCTTATATTTGTACAAATCTTACATCATCAACATCACACACATACGCATTTGCGCTTCTCTATTTCTGTATTTTATATCGTAAAATACGTAACTTAACACATTTTTGATTCAGTTTTGACTTTCTCTCATTTCTATCATAGAATGGTATAAGACGTGTGAAAGGTCTATTTGCAAATTTGTATATATTTTTACATTTATACTTTCAAATAAAATTATTATATATTATCATATCAAATATATTCTTCTCAAAATAGAATAGATATTTTCTTGTAATTGACAATCATACACCTGTATTATGAAAATTAGTTTTTAAGTATAAACATTCTTTTGAGCAAAATTACCTGTTTTTGTATTGAATCAATTGCATATTCATATGGACTTGATGTGACATAATTATAATTTTTCATGTTTGATTTTAATCGACTTCGTATACCATATTCCAATTCATTATAGAACATGGCCATAATTATAAATACAGTTATTTGAACAATGAAAACTAATATTACGGAAATAATATACTAAAAAAAGAGAAGAAATGAAAAGTAGCAAGAAATATTTTTTAAGCTTTGGCAATAAATTCTGATTGTAGTGATGATTCAGATAATACAAAATATTTTAATTCTATTAGCTAAAATTTCAATAGTCCACTTGTATTTGTTGATAGTACAAAATTGTTCACTCTTATACACAAAAAATGAAAAAATCTTTTATGTCCAGACATGTAATTTCTTTTATCAATGGTCATATGCCTCAAGAACCATAATTATGATGACTGACGTAGACAAAACATCAAATGACCTTAAACACATTTTGTTTTGCTACCATATATAAATGCACTTTGACAGCAGAGTATGCCCGCATAACTACATATTAAAAAAAAAGAAAAAAGAATGTAGGCCTGATAACTAAGCACCTTCATGTAGTGTGTAGAATCGATATGCATAGTGAACATTATGAAACACATTCATTCTTTCTAATTGAAAGTACAATAGAAGAAAGAGTTTTTATTCTAAAATTAAATTTTAATAAATATAAGCACTTACAAATGCTAGACATACTCGACTTTCTCTAAATGCACCACAGCATCCAAATAAGCCAATGAGAAAGATAATTATTCCAACGAGTATGATTAATAGTGCCGCAACTTCAATTGGTGATATGGGAATTGTTGTAATATTTAATAATCGAACAATTTGTTGTATATCGGAACGTGTGATCAAATAACATCCAAGACTTGTAAGTCCAATACCAGTTAGCTAAACAAGAAGTGAAATGTACCAAATAAATTCACGCTATCTTTGATGAAAAACAGAATCATCTCAACAGTACAGTCAATCAAAGAAATTTCTATAAGAGAATATTAGAATCTAGATCTCTACGAGTATCAGTATATAGGATACAATTTTCTATAAGATATAGTTCAATCAAGATTTCAAAGAATTTTCTTTATCCTATTAAAAATAGAAAGAAATTTTCATCTAACGAAAGGTCATTTAAGAAAGGTGAATAGAGAATATAAAGAGATCAGCATGTCTTTTCATCAACATAGATGTGATTAATGCGCATCAATTTTAAATCTTTGCAGTTATTCTTCAAGCTGCTTCATAAATATTTTATCACACAATCAAATGTACTATTAGAAATGCTTAATAGATTATTATAATTTAATTACTGAAGACTGCCTAACTGTTTTATTATAAGATAGGACTCAATATGATACAAAATAGACATGCTATTATATATATATATATATATTCTTGAATAGCAGCTGGTTTTTTGAATCTAATCGGCGCGCTCCAACTGTTTTTCTTCATAAATGAGAAAAACTCTTACGAGATACGTTTTTAAATGAATTTTTACGTAATAGTGACTTGAAAGTTTATGTTGATAATTCAGAAACAGAACATCTCATCCAGAACATTTATTGTCATTAATAAAGTGACAAAAAAGAAAAAAGTTTCTTGTATCCTTAAAGGATACAAGAATTTTTCAGTTTGGCTTTGATGCATTTATTCACCTTGCTAGAATTAATCCTAATAGTACCACAAGTGTTTTACAACAATAACTTTTCTTGTTAAGAAAAAGAAATGCTTGAATCACAGTCCTGAATGAGGATATTTTTCGCAGCTAGAAGTTTCTATACAGCCGGTAAAATGTTTTATTTATGAAAAAACCAAGTACATACCCAGAAGAAGATGGTAATAGCTATTAGAAAATACTTAGCACAATGACATGTTTGAAATCCCATACTTTTTGAAGATAATAATGTACAATAAACTATAATGAATAATCAAATAATATTATTTCAAATTAAATTTTAATTATTTTATCACTGATAAATTACATTTTAACTTGTCAATAAAATAATTTTTAATAATAGAAAATAAACAACATCTATATTACAGTTATTATTTCGTTGTCTATTATTACTTTTTTATATTATGTGAAGATGTTTTTTTTCTTGCCTGAGAATTCTTTAGACATTCCTACCCGTCCGTTCACAAGAAACGTTTTTTGATGGACCGCAGAGAATTATGGTGAAGTTTTATTCTGATTGTTAGTTTGATTCTATATAGACCTATATAACAATAGAAGAAAAAGAAGTAATTTAAGTGAGAAAGATAAGAAAGAAAAAGGAAGAAAGAAGCGAAAAATAATAGAGAAACTGGACCACCTTCTTTCTCTATGCGGTGATGATGACTGCACAACAGTAAATTCAAACACAAGACAAAGAACTATAGAGATGTTTTTTATATAAGATTGCTGAACATATAATTGAAATCTTTGCGTAGTTTTTAGTCACTTTTACATGTAAGCAGGTGTATAATGACATATATTTATTAAACGCAAAAACATTCTATCTGGTGGCATTCATTAGAGAATAAAAAATCTCCATTGAAAAGTTTGTTCCACTTTAACCTTAGCCTTGAACATGCAACTGCACAGGGGGAGATGAACATAAATCTGTACCTAACTCAAATTGAAATCTAATAATGGATTTAGAACGTAAAACTCGCACATCCTAGCTGTAATCATTTTTGCTAAGAGTTAATTGAATGCAGAAGAGTTCATTCAACTGTATATTCGTCACTGTAGAGGTACAACTTGACGCGAGGGTAGGGCTCTTGTACACGTACAATTTTCTTTTTAATTTTTACCAGAGAAAGACATTAGTATACAAATGATAGTTTATAAGATGATGACTTGCAGTTAGTTATACGGACAAGTTCATTTACAACGTTATGGCTCTACTCTCACTTTCTCTTGGCCACCCTCACTTCCTACTTTTCCTCATTTCTACTTTGAGCTAAAAAGTGTCATCACTTCCAAAATATTAACTATTTGTTGAAGTGGAGTTTGAATATGTAACGTCTCACATCAGTGGTGAAGTTCATGATCTTCAGAAACCATCGCAGGACAGGGCTGCCCGGTTGTCCTGCCGTCCTACCCTGTCCTGCCGGGCAGGGCGATATATCTTTTTTGCCCTGCCCTGTTGCAGGACAGGGCAACAAAAAATTACTTGATTTGCCCAGCGAGAGATTGGTTTTTGAGATTTTCAAGCTTCTTTTTAAGTAAAATTTTTTGAGATCTCTCGTATATGTGAAAATAAAAATGACAGCCAGGTTTTCTAAAATTGATAATTAATAAAAAAAAGATTCTGTTAAGTACGAGAAACGCATCCAGTATTTGTGATGAGTTTCTTAAAGATAAAGTCTACTAGGTTAAGAAGAAAAACTTTCTTTTGCACTACACGGCGTCCTGCTCAACCAGACAGGACAGGGCAAAAAATTTTTTATGAGTCATTTTCTGGCAGGGCAGAGCGAAAAAAATTGCCCTGCGATGATCTCTGATTCAATTCTAGGAAAACAAGTTTAAAAATATGCATGAAGAGTATCAAAATAAACTGTTTCTTTCTTGAAAATATGGCATATCTCTGCGGGAAGATACGCACCATTTTTGGGAGATTCGGCATGGCCGCTCAGTTTAGAGGGTTTTTCCATCCTTTTCCATCTGATCTTAACAGTGTGACGACTGAAGGTTAGTAGATCGCTCATACACAAGTGAAACATGTCTTCAAATTTCTATAACAGATCAACACAAATTTTGGAGCGTTTAAATTTTCGAGAAAATACAGAATGTAGGCAAAATTTGTTCCAGAATCTAGCAGAATCTGCACAGATCTGTTGCAGATTATTACAGACTGAAGTTTCAATGTAATTGTTTCCTGAATATTTATGTAGAGAGAAAAATTGCTCGTAGAGTCGAAAAAATTTGGATTCTCATAATCAGCAGAATCTCAACTACAAATGATATTACACACTTGACTAACGCTTGAAAATTGTCCACAGCTTTTAGTTTTATGATGATGAATAAGGGAATAAAAAAATAAATTTTAGATTGTTACTGTTTACTAATCTATTTTCATAATAAAAATAACAAGTATAAAAGATCTAAATCAATAGCTAGACAAGGTATAATTTAAAAAAAAAAGAATTGACTGATACTTTTAACAATCAGAGCAAAAAATAGTACGTGTATGAATGAGAATTTCATAAAACTTGTCTTATACACGACAAAGAATTATATTCTTTATAATTAATTAAAACATTTGTACGTTTAAACAATGGTCATGTTTAAACGGGCTTTGCAATATGAAACACACTTTCTTTCTTTAACGCTCAATTACTTATACGCAACTACTTGTGTGCAGTTATAAATTCAACAATTTTTAATTACAAACTTTAATATGTTTAGCATTTAAATAATTTCTACTGGACGTGGTACACACAAGTATTTAATACAGATGGCAATCTGTGATAGAAGATTGACGGTTAGATGGTTATTTGTCATTATTTTGAAAAAAAATCTATTAAAATAATTAGTTCTTCATTTATTTGAAGAGACCTGCCTTTTTTGTTTCATATTTTATCGTAGATCTGCCTAAACGCACGTGATGGAATTACATTTTTTCAACTTTTGGGCTCTGTTTCTCCTCAAATATTGAACAAAAGGTGACGACACTTTTATCAGAGATGTGCGGTAGAATGCTTGGTTTGTGATAAAAATTTAGAATGAATCGGTTAAGTAGAACGATTTTTATGAGCAAAGTAGATGTAGTGACGGAATTATATTTTTTAGCCTTTTTTTTTCTAGTGCCCTATAAACTTTGAAAAATGCTCTAAAACGAGACATATTCTAATACAAAAATTGTAGAGCATACAAAGAGCTTTCGAATCATCTATTTATTTTCATTTAAAATGAAAAGAAACAAGCGAAATGGCTCCATGACGGAATTGCATGTCGTGACGGAATTACATCATTTTTTTTTCTTTCTTTTGCGGTGGGTTTTATCGTTATATTTCTACCGGTAAAAAGACTTCTATAAAGTGATTTGCACAGAGCCTTATGTAATCCAGTGTCCTCTATCAAACTAAGAGAAAAAAACGGTAGGAAAAATGTTGTTAATTTTCGCAAAATTGCTCCAAAAAAAGTACCATTTCGATTTCGGCAAAAAACCAGGAAAAACTTGTTTAGCTAAGATACTCGGAAGAGTGAGAGGTTCATTTTATAGAAGTAACAATCTTCCTTCAGCTAATAGAAAACTAACTTCTACGTCTCTTGGTTTTGTCTTGTAGTCAATTTACACGAGCCAGACTATCGACAGATTCTTCGCAAAGTTTTTGCAGATTTTGCTACGAACTGACGTCTTAGCATAATTGTTTGCCAAAAATACATATAGAGACACAAAGAGATTATGTAGACGTATCTATGATGGATTTTGTCTCATAAATGAAAAATTTTACACACTTCTTATTTCTGTTTATTTGTTGTCAGGTGCTCTAGTATTTTATTTTTAGGATGAAAACAAAACATTTTCACGTCACCCAAACATTAGAAGATCGGAAACGGTTCTCTCTCTCGATACAGAGTCCATATTCTATTATTTTTATAAATATGTCGGAAAATAGCCGTTTTTCTCTGTTATTATTATTGTTGGATAATTTGATTACAAATAAAAAAATTATTTCATAAAGAAAAAAGGAAGATAAAGAAAATCTGTTCGATGTAAATAAAAAATATTCATGTCTAATAATATAGATAACGCTTATTTTACTCGACATATACGTTCCAAAAAGAAAGATGAGTGAAGAGGATAGATTTTGACAGCAGTATTGTCGTGCAGTGTTCAATTTTCTATCTATAGATTTGTTGACAGGTTATTTCTTTATTTTTTTTTTTTTTATAGAAAAAGAAATACCTGCACGTTACAAAGAGAAAACTATCTTTGTGGAAAAAAAGTAAGTATATTATTGTGCTTAGCCCTCTTATCCTAATCTGATTATAATAGATTTAGCAGATTCTAGCCTGTTTATTCCTCGTTGGCAATTTTACAACTTCTATTTATAACTCTCCATGAATAGGCGATACATGGGCTGTGAAGAGGAAGTTCATAAGGAAAAAAAAGATATCGATTGATCTTTATAGGTTATCTGATTTCTTTTTGTTACAAAATGATTAGAATCTTTCTTTCATTGTATACAAAAAAAATCCGAAGGGAAAAAAAT